ATATATATATATATATATATATATATATATATATATATATATATATATATATATATATATATATATATATATTTCTTTGCTTAGTAAATAAATACATTTATTTTAAATATTAAAATTTTGAATTTTTGAAGTTACTTTGTGAGGGGAGGTGGCCGTTAAATAAATATATTGGGACAAGAACAAAAAAAAGATTTTTTCATGTCTGTCCCGTTCACGATCATCTCTATAAACAAGAGGGTTTAAAACTTAGGAACAGAGGAGAATGAAAAGAGAAAAAAGTTGAGGGGAGCTTACCATATATACTCTGCAATGACCTTGTCAGTGGAGTCGGAAAGGTCGAGGTTGACGAGATCTGAGAGCACCGACATTGTCTTCTTCGAGATTCCGCGGGAATGAGTTGATTGATTCCTGCTCTGAAATTTTGGTGGTAAATGAAGAGTAGAGCTTGGGTTTTTATAGATATATAATGCCACACTTAAATAAAAAGCTTAAAGAATCTTTTTTTTTTTTCTTTTTTAGTTAAAAAAGATATTTGGAAATTTTTATAAAGAAAATGGGCAGTTTCTACCTTGTTCGTGGATCATTTTATTTTTAAGTATTTGACAACAACAAAAAAAAATAATAATTAATAAATAAATAAAATAAGAAAAAAAAAATAAGAAAATTTGATTTCAGTTTCAATGTAATATGTTAATTAATATTGAGCTAAAATATTATTAAAATGTTATGAACGGTTCATTTATGTGTTCTGTATTCAATGAGTTGAGAATCCGACCAACCCAAACTCAAATCATAAAATTTGGGTTGTGTTATATTTTTTTTGATTTGGATTGAATTGAATTTTTTAAAAATAAAAAATTTCATTCGCGGGTCGACATTTTACCCGTCCAACTCATAGGGTTACAACCCAATTTTAGTCTACAGTAATTTTTAAGTTATTAATTTTAATAAAAAAAAATATCGGCCACTAGGTTGAGTTATTAATAATTTTATTGCATAACTATTATTTTATATTGCTAACAATAAATAAACTTAAACACGTGTACACAACCAAATATAATAAAGCATTTCCTCCACTCAAATTAATTAATAATTTCTTTTAATAAAATAAAATTGGAATTTTAAAATAATAGCACAAGAATTTTTTTTAAATGTTATATTAATATTTTAATCGGTTAAAAATGTAAAAAGAATAGGATAATATATTTTAAAAGAATATCTTAAGATAATAAATTTTATTCTTATTTTGATTCTCAATTTTTAACAAATTCGATGAACTTCTAACTTTTTATTTAAATTCGAAACAAATCGAATAATATTCTCATTCCGATTCCGATTTAAAGATATTTGTTTGAAAAATAATATGGTCAAAGCTATTTTAGGTAAAAAAAAAAGTTCGAAAATGTTTTATCATTATATATAACTAAAATAAATCAATTTAAAATTTTTTATGTTGTAAATTTTGTCATAAGTTTTTTATTTAATTTAGTTATTAACATTATTAATTTGGTTATTAATTTTGTAACCGTTTTAATATTAATCTTATTTAATTCCGTAACGTTCGATGATCCAAACAATTGTCGAGCTTGTTTAGGAGGCTGTTGATATCGAAATTTGATACCAGAATTTTTAAGAGTATTATGTGTCACATTGTATTTCTTGAGTGAGGTGAGAGTCTTTGTACTGTGTTATTCACTTGTAACACTTTGATTATTAGTGATTGATTGTTTCTCGTGGATGTAGGGAAACTTCTTCTTCCGAAACCACGTAAATATCTTGTTGTATCTTTGTGTAATTCCGTTCACTGGTATTGTGAGTACATTCGTTCCGCTTTCGTTACAACATTTTAGACTTAGTTGATTGACAGTTTTGTTAAAGATGACTCACTTCTCGCAAATATTGTCCGCTTTAGCCCGTTATATATATGATCGTTAGCCTCACGATTTTAAAACGATAGGGAGAGGTTTCCACACTCTTATAAAAAAAATGTTTTGTTTCTCTCTCCAACCCACGTGTAATCTCAGAATAAATGTTTGATATTATGAAAATTTAGTATAAATAAATAATATTTCAATTTAATTCTCGTAATTATTGTATTAATTAATTTTAAGTAATTAATTATGGTTAGTTAATATATTTTATTAAGTCAAAGTATTAAAATAATTTTAACTAATTAAATTTTGTTTTAAATTTGATAGGTGTATTATAAATAATATGACTTAAATTTAGGTTTTTGATTTTTGAGTTTATTTAGGAATCAGTATTAATATTTATTCTTAAATAAATAATTTATTAATTTTTATAAAATTTTAGATAAATAAAAATAAATAAAGAGAAAAAAGAAAAAAATCTAAAATAAAAACAAATTTCGTTCATATTTATTAGATGAATTAATTTTAATTCGAAAATTCGAGATTTTTATTAGAGATCTAAGAAGAATATTTAAAAAGTAAATATATTTTATTCTTATTTAACTTTAAAACGATGATTACACGTGTGATTATTCCTTCATTCAATAATAAAATATATTATTGGTGCAATAGGGTCAAACTCAATAATTGTACAAGTTCATTATTTATAATTTTCTGAAAATAATTTAGATATGCTTGTATTCAGGTTTACATTCTAAGAAATCTCAAACGGTCCGCAGTCTGAAGTGCAGTATTATTATATAGAGTATTTTGTAATCTCTTCTGGATTGATATCAATAAAGAGTGCGAGTGTTTCCCGTAAAAAATTGTATTTAAAAATTTTCATTTTATAAAAAACAATATCTTACCAAAAAGGGATAGAATAATAATAAAAGGTTAACTTTATTGATATGGTATACATCTTATTTAATAGCCTTTCAATCACATAGAACAATCCCTTACCTAATTACCATTATGACCTTACTAATATCCTATTAATTTTTTATATGTATCCCCTAATATAGTAAATAAATGAATAACATGTAATTTTTTAAAAAATTATATATTGAAATTGAATTACAAATATTAATTTAATTTTTTTTAAATTAATAGATTTTTTACCTATTAATATTTTATTTTATTATAAATAAAATGAATTAATAACTTAAATAATTCAAATCAACCCAATTCAAATATTTTTATGACTAGATTATATTGAATTTATTATTTAATAAGAGTTATATGAGCGTAAAATTTTACAATCTAAATAATTAGGCTAGATCTAAAAATGTCTTAACTCGACCCACTTACTAGCGGGCCTTAACATATTCTCGGTAGGCTTAGATTCATTTTAATTTTTTAAATTAAATCATTCAATAGTTTGTAATTTGTCGAAATTCACGCACGGATTCTTGTAATTAAATCTAGCTCAGTGATGACTAAAAAATGCTTTAAAAAAATGAAAGTGGCTACGTATATTAACACGGTGCACATATCATAGGAACTTCATGGTTAGACGTGTATTGTCCCGAGCAATTCTATGTTGGATGATTTTCTAGAAGATTTTTTAAGATGTATGTGAGTAAGAACAAAACATGCTAGAAGAACTTTTGTTGGTGTAAGAGAGAAGAGGCTTCACTCTTAAGAAGTGAGAAGTAGATAATGTGATCATATTATAAAGGACTTGTGTTGGCCCTAACCTGTAGGGATAGTTTTCACTTTCAAGAAGTGAGAACTTGTGTTGCCCCTCGCCTGGACGGATAGTTTTCGCTCTTAAAAAGCCAGACGTAGGTAAAGGGACCGAGGAGCGGTAACATAGAAGCCAAACAAATTTTATTAGTAATAGAAACCATATGTTATTCAAAATACTTGACACAGAGGTGGGAGTAATGGGGAACGGGAATCTTAGCTTTTTGCAAAGCTCAAATGGAAGAGTAAAATAACAATAAAAGTACACAGAAGGATAGGAATTAACTGTGAAGATGATGAAACAGTGAAAACTATGAATTTGGAAGACCTAATCTTCTTCCTCATGGCTTCCACAAGATGGTGGTTTCAGCAACCATGGAAGTTACGACATATGGATCCATGTTCGACGCTGGTCTTCGGTCTTCAAAATATCCCTTTCCTTCCTTCTCCGTGTCTCGTCCTACTCGAACCGATGCACCGCGATTCGCAACACCCTATCATATTTCGTTACTCCAAACGTGTAAGCATTTTGATTTTCGAATGACTATCATAATACCCGAATCGAAAACAAACAGAATTTGACATGGAAAAAGGAATATGCTATACCCATGAGAATGTGTTGATATCGGCTGTTTCGTGTCGTCCAGTGAGACGACGCTCGTTGCCTTCTCCATAGGCAGCAATGTGTTCTTTGTGCCTGAGCTTCAACTTCTCAATTGCTTTCTTGATCACCTCGTAACCACCATCTTCCCTCATCGACTTCGTACTGAGAAATGATTATCAAACATGTTACTACCAATGCTCAATCGCAGCTAATGGTTTACTCGATATAAAGATCGTGTTTCATTACCTGTAGTTCGTGTGAGCACCAGCACCATTCCAATCTCCCTGGTGTTATTCAGAAAGAAGAATGATTAGGAGGGGAAAAAAAGTACTCTCCAAAAGAAAAGCTCATGAACAAGAGGTTCTTAGATTTTACTTGGATTGGTTTTGGATCAAAAGAAACGACTACTCCAGCAATCTCTGTTATCCTCTGTTGGTACAAAATTGAGACCGTAAGAACAACGAAAATATAGGCATTTGAGCAATCTTTTACAACTTCAGTTACCTCCAGGATGTAACGAGCAACCCACAATTCATCCCCAGCAGATATACCAACAGAAGGACCAACTTGAAATTCCCACTATATTGGAACAAAAAAAAAGCATAACATAAGAACATAATCATGATCAAACCATGGCAGAACCAGGAAAAAGGAAGAAGCTATACCTGTCCTGGCATCACTTCTCCGTTGATGCCACTAATGTTAACACCAGCATATAAACAAGCCTTGTAATGAGCATCAACAATGTCACGGCCGAAGGCTTTGTCGGCACCAACACCGCAATAGTACGGTCCCTATCGACAATCGAAATCATATTCTACTTGAATCTTTGATTAAACAGAAATATAGTGTGTCTCACTGAATCTATTCAAGTCAACCAATCACTTCTTGTAGTGTTAATTACCTGTGGCCCGGGGAAACCACCAATCGGCCACCCGATCGGCCAGTTTACGTCCTTTTGCAACAAGGTGTACTCTTGCTCAATACCATACCTGTGTTTCCAAAACAAATTAGCAAGCCAGGACTATAAGTATCTTCTATTATATAATATCAACATGTTTTTTGATGTTCCTGTGAACATTTCTTTTGCTGAAAGTTCACTTTCATGGCATTTGTAGATATTAACATTTTACATCTTTTCATAAGCATAAATATGAGGTAACAATTTGATAATCACCATGGTACTTCAGCAGCAACATCAGGATGGCTGAAGATCTTGGCAGCAGCGTGTCTCTTGTTCGTCGGGATCGGCTCTCCGGCTGGTGTGTAAGCATCACACACAACCTAAGCAGTCAAAATTATCATTGTCAAGCTCAAGCCATTCCAAATCAGTATATAACATATGAAAACTAGACAGGAACTTGTAGTCCAAATGGAAACTTAGAACTTACAAGAATATTGTTGCCTCTCCTAAAAGGATCCCTAAAAATTGCTTGTGGGCTGTGATTCATCATTAAACAAGAACAAGAAGAAAAGAAATGTCAAGATCCAGTCATTTGTAGACATCTATGGAGAAAGAGAAGACAAAATGAACTCACTAAAGGATCACTTCACTGTCTTCTCCTGGGGCTTGGCCAGTACTAGATCCATCGTAGTTCCACTTGGGAAGCTTCGAAGGATCACTTACAGGGCCAGAAAGGGTCTTCATATGCAAAAGAACACAACACATAATCGAAGGAAATCAATATTTGAAAAGAAAAACAAATCCAATAAAGATTTCATGTTTTGAAAATAGCTTAGTACCCTTGCTTTGCTTCTGAGATCCATGCCTGATCCACCAATCCTGTTCAAATGGAACATAAACAAATTAGCACAAGATCAAAAAGGAAAACCAATAGAGAATCAGAAAAACCCTCAGTAAATATGATGATCCTTTAACTTCAACGATTTGCAGAATCAGAAAACACAGCCAGAACACTGAGCAGATGCAGAACATTACACAATCATCGAAGAACAGTTTCAGTACATAAAGTTCATTCAGCAAGAACAAAACGAATTCAAAGGAACAAAGAAAAGAAAAATCCCATAGTCGAGATTTTGGCAAACAATAAACAGAGCACACACAATCGTCCACAAAATTCCCCCAATCTCAGTTCTGAAACTCAAACAACACAGCCTCTGAACTTCAATTCATTTCCCCAAATCTTTCTCGGTAATCAAACAGCACAAACGAGCAAAAACGCGTGAAAAAAGAAAAACGAAACTTACAACTCACAAGAGAGGCATTCCTAGCCTCATCCACAGAATCATAACAGAAAAATCAGCGGAAAAATTCGAGAAAAAAACAGGGGATTATGGAAGGGAAGGAGAATAAAAGAGAGAAAAAATTGGGGGAACTGACCATATATACTCTGCAATAATCTTCTCGGTGGAGTCGGAGAGGTTGAGGTTGACGAGATCTGAGAGAGCAGACATTTTCTTCTTCTTCTTCGTGTGATCGCTCGAGAACACACAAATCAATAAGAGCTTCAGAGGGAATGATTTGATTCCCGCTCTCTGTTGAAATTTTGCAGAGAAATGAGGAACAGAGCTTGGGTTTTATAGATACAATGACAGCACCAAACTTTTGGAACATTATTCAAATTAACTTTTACTTTTTTATAAATTTAAAAAAAAAAAAACATTTTTATCTTTTAATTTTTAAATATCACATGTAAATGGCTCAAATTTCAACATTGATGAACTCATCTGAATCCTAACACAAATATAATTTAATTAATAAAATATTATATCAATCAATAAAGCCAAAATTGAGTCTCCAAACAAGTCCAAGAGAAGATCAAGACTCAATGGCTTGAGTAACAGCTCGAGGCTGATGAGGTCGGGAGGTTACTACTCTTGCTTCAATTTCGAAAAGTGCACGTAAAACTTAAGATGGTAGATCAAATGTAAAGATTCAACCAAAAACGTCTCGAAGATCCTGTTAACTTATTAGATTCTTTTTACAATTTTTTTTTTAAAAGGTTATTTAAAAATAACAGGTCAGCATTTAATATATTAGCCATTAATCAGTTATGCATTTTTAGGTACTGACGTGTATTTTCTTTTTCTGTAATAATAATTAAAATGGTTCAATCATCAATAACTTGAGAATTAAAAAAATAATAATTGTGATTTGATTCAATTCCACCGGCACAAAAGAATCTGTGGAATTTTTTTTTTTCATTCAAAAAACACTTGAAAATTTTAAATTATTTATTTATTTTGATAGACGGAATCAAAATAATTTAAAAAAAAATTAGAATCTAATGAGATCGGCATTTTTTTTCACAACTAGCCGAAAATCTAACATTAAATTATGTCGGTAATATTTGGCAATGAGAATCTATATGAGTCTCGATTCTAAATTTAAGATTTTGATTAAGATTTGAAACTCGACCTAAACACTTGATGCCCTCGATTTTTTCTTGCATTTCTCGTGATATGACCAAATTATCTATTTATCTTGAACGGCAAATTCGATTAATTTTGGAGTGTTCATAATTGAGCTACCGAAAATAATAAGAACTATCGTATTTTTTTAGTATTTAAATATATGATGATATTTTTTCAAAAATATCCTTAAAGAAGTTCTCGAATAGGTTTCTTTTGACCATAGATCACTCCGATATTTTTTTAAATCATAAGTATAGTCTGTTTTCATTTCATTATTGTGTCTCCCAACCATAAAATAATACATTTGCCTATTTTTTTAAAAAAATTTAAATTAAATGAAAAAAGAAAAAAATTATAAATGATATTTTAAGACAAATCACCATCACACTAATGATTGACAAAATAATTTATTATTGTCCGCTTATGTTATAATGTTTCACAAAATAATTGATCATAAATTATTTGAATATAAATTTCTCCAAATAAATGTGTAATTAAAGTAAAAAAAAACAAAAATTGGTAGAAGGTACAAATATCTATAATTTAATTTAAATGAGTCAAAGTAAATAGAATCAAGTTGACCAACACGGGTAAATTACACGTTTCACTTTTTTAAAATAATTGGAATAACTTAGCTTAATATTAGATATTAATATCATTCGATATATTTGTATTTAATATTTGTATTTAATTTATTAAATTTTTAATTAACACATGAAAAAAAAAAATCTTAAAAACCCTATTCTTTTTTAATTATATATTCTTTTGTAATATTATATAAGTTGTTAAAAAAGCATTAGATGAACAAATTACTTTTTTATGTTTTCAATTAAATATTATATTGACGTATTATTTATTAGTTAAAAAATATTTAAAAAAAAAGTATCTTAATAATTATTAAATAAAAATAAAATTTTAATATCTTATAAATAAGTGAATGGTGAGAATATGAAGAAAATATAATGAAAGTTTAAGGACTAAGTTGCAATATAATTTATTTAAATTTGTGGCCCTAACACTAAAGGGTAAAAATGGAAGGCAAAATTGTTAGGTGGTTGGAGGAAAGTGGAGGTGGGGATGATCACGTGGGCGTTGTACGGTGGAGGACAAAAAAGTTGGTGTGTTTTTCAAGGAAGCCCCTAAATATAAAATCTCCATTTTGACCTTTTTTAAAGAAGAGGGACACGCGTGGTAATTTCCGTCAATTTGTGGGGCCCACTCTAATTCTTTTTTTTTTTTTTTTTCCTCCCCTTTCTTTTGGAATGAGCACTACAAAAAGTCACACGTGGAATCTTCAATTCAATATTCTATTTCAATAAATCTTTTCAAAATATTCCATTTAAACTAATATATAGTTTCACATTCACATCTGGCTAGAGAAAAAAATAATCCATGACGTCATAATTCACATAAAAAAAACTCGTACCACATCTGAATGAGAGTAGTCATTAAGATAAGACGAGGACGAACAGTTAAAAGAAATAAAAGTTACTATTTATATCAACAAAGTGCACCTTCCTTTCAGAGCAATTCTACCTTAGGTGATATTTTTTGTAAATTTTTAAAGATGTATGAGAGTAACGACAATGTCGGCAAGGCAGGATGAAGGACTTATGTTGATAGGTAAAGATAGAGTCTTCATTCTTAGAAGCGAACAGTAAATAACGTGCCCATGTCGTAGAAAAATGTTAACGCAATCCGGTATTGAATTCAGATTTTAAATCTTAATCTAAATTCTAGACGGGAGTTGTTACATCTCGTATTAAGATTCTTTAATTCTAATTTTTTATGCTTTTGTGACGTCATTTTATTTTCTTTTCAAAAAACAACTTTTTTTTCAAGTGAGTAAAACCAACCTCCTCCTCCCATTCTAAATAGGTGGGCTATGACTTAACTTTAACACTGAGCTTTTATTATTATTATTATTATTATTATTATTATTATTTGTCTCATTAATTTTTATAATTATTTAAGATAAATTACTCCATGAATATAATTTTAATTTAATTTCTATAGTTTAGATTCTTTTTAACATAATATTACAAAAATTTAACAGTGATTTAATTTGTTCCATATAGTTTGTTTAATCCCACGTGTTAGTTCCTAAATTTAGTTTAATATATATATATATTTATTTATTATTTTATAGGCTCTAAATTAGATAATGTACCTAACCCTCATGAGGCACATGTTGTACAATATAATGATGATAAAGTTAAGATGTTTATAATGATGATAAAGTTCAGATATTTTTAACCGCTTAAAAATATTAATTAGGAAGAAAAAATTATACCGTTAAAATGATATCAAAATTTATTAAAATTTATTTATATTTATTTTAATAAAAATATTAATATTAAATTAATAAATATATTCTATCTAAAAAATATTCATAAATTTTTAAAAAATTTAATAATATATTTGAACTTCTATTATTGCAATTAATATCTAAATATTTTCAATTTTTAATAATTTTTTTAAAATACTATTAAATTTAAATAAAAAATTATTTTTATTAATTTAGTCAAATATTAAATATTAATATGAAGATATATATATAGAAATATTAAATTGGAAGATTGAAAGTTGAAAACTTGCATTTATGACCCAACTACCAACGCAACGTTATTACCTAATTTTAAATTCCTCAATTTCTAAAATATTATATAATTATTTAATTTTTTTTATAATAATCTAGATCTAAATTTTAATACGTAACAATTTAACCTTAGTTATTCTCGCAAAATATTTAAGAAATTAAGTATTAAATATATTCAAAATCTACAATAATATAAATTATTAAATAATAAGATCTCAAAATTTAATTTTGAAGAAATTTCGTATAGGAAAGGCTAAATTATTACGAAATTCTAGAGATTTAAATATTTTTATATTAAATTTTGTGAACTAAGTCGTCGTAAAATTGAAATTGCGTGATAAATCAATGTTGTTAGGACCAAAATGTAATTTTTAACGAAATAAAATAAAATAAACAATATTATATACTTGAATAATTGAAGATTCTTTGAACATGTATACAATTTAATATCATTTAAGTGAAGAATATGTATAATACCATTAGCCAATGCTTATGTAATATGGTATGGTTTTTCTGGTTTTGTCGTTACAGTTGCTTTTTTAAAATAATATCTCATTTATATATATAAATTATATTAATTACTATCAACTATTTTTTTTATTTATTGATAATGACGTCAACTACACAATAATTTATATTAAATAGTATTTGCAGCGTTTATTTTAAAATATATATTAATATGGTTGACTTGTTCGTTTATTTTTGTAGAGATCGAGCATTTAAAATTAAAATTTATTTAAAAATTTGTGGAGAAAAAGAAGCTATATGAGACGTTCGAGTTAGAATTTCTAATGGATAGTGTTGAGACGGTCACTCAAAACGCTGCAAACAAACCAAAATACGAACATACAAAATATTTTAGACATCGTACCTTCTTTTGTCTCCTCTCTTGGTTTCAGGGAGTCTGTGGGAGTTCCGTTGCTTTGCAGGAGGGAAGTGGGTGGGCTTCATTCAATGTAATGCTTTGTTTGTTGGTTGGTCCGGTTTTTCGGTTTAGTGTGTAGGGAGGCGCCGTTGCCCTTTCCTTTCAGGAGACATGTTGTAATGTTCAGTGGCAAGATTAATGGATATGGAGTCAATGATCAATCCGACCACCGTCAACTCCAGTGTCGAGACGCTTTAGAATCGAAGCCTACAAACCCTCCAAACCTCTTTATTTTTTGGTATGCTCGACAATCCAACCATCCGACCAGCTCATAAACAAACCATACTTCTTTATATGTTCGTGATCTTCCTTTTATGTCAGCTTTCTTAAATTTATCATTTATTTAATTTCTTAGTACACGATTTAAAATTATAATTTCTTAGTTAAAAGATATGTTAATACATTAAGTTACGAACAATTATATATTTTCACCACCTAAACTTGATACTTTTATTATACAACTTTAATAAAAATATATACGTGGCTAATATACTTTGTATTTAGCCTTAGTCATTTTGAAGAGAAA